ATAATAGACATATTGAGGAATAACATATTAAAATTTCAATATTCAAGAAAATTTAAATAAAATTGATAGTTATGTAATATTATTTTACTCGTCGAGCTCATCAATATTCATATAGTACGTAGTTCTTCAGTAACGTTTGCCATTTATATAGATTTTGTTTATTATTTTGTATAATTTTAAAGAAAACCTATCGATTTTATTAATTGTTATCAAAATATATATATTTAAGATTAATAATATCCAAATTACAGCACTCTAGTACAAACGGTACGTCCTGAAGAGCTCGTTAAAATTAATTGTTCATATAGTACGTAGTTGTTCCTTACTTTATTTAGATTTTGTTGATTGCTTTTGAAGACCAAGTACAAGTTTATAAACGTGCATTGCTTTATTAAATCTCTTGTAACTTTTAAACCATTCGATGGATATAAAAGATGTTTTCGGCGAATTTGTGCAAAATTAAACAATCTATAATGTTGTCTAATATCTTAATACCCTACAGCAACTCGGTATACACATAAATAGCAATCAAAAACTTACTGCACGCATGCAAAAATTTGTACCGCGCATCACTAGTTTTCCTACTAGGAACACGAGCAACTTGCCGATAGGCATTTTTCGAACAACAATTTTGCATGTGACATATCAAATGAAAGGTCTCAAAGAGCACATCACGAATGTAGTATTTATTTTTGTTTATTATATCACACAAAAAATATAAAATTTAAGATTAGTGCAAAACTAACAAGATAGTAAAGTGCAACTTGCCTAAAGGCACTTTTCGAACAGCATTTTGCATGTGGCATACCAAATTAAAGGTTTTGAAACGTACACTAAGAATATGATATTTGTTCTAATTTTATACGAAAAATGTAGATGTAGCATACGTATTGAAGGACACAAACAAGCTTCACAAAGGGTAATAGCGATTTGATGCTTTCGGCTTAATGGTATATATATATATATATATATATATATATATATATATATATAAATATATATATTACCTTTATCATTCCAATATCATCTCGACCATGGCTCCCTTTTCCAAAATCGAAATGATTCAACAGCAATTTTGACTCTGACCATTGTCCTTTGGTAAGATAATTGGTTGAGACGTCTGTCTCTCCTGCCAAAACCGTCAAGGCTTCAACACTTGGTATAAAAATAAATTAGTTTATATATAACACATATAGTTGTTTATATAATAAAATATTTTGAATATTATACTAGTGTTTTCGGGTATAAAACAAACCTTTCATCTGCCAAACAATGCGCTGCAGTCAGCACCCAGTTGACTTTTATCAAAGATCCTCCACAATGGTGGAAGAAATTTTTTAATATAGAAACCTATGGTAATAAAAATGATATAAGAAAATTTTGGAAGTAAAAGGTGCAGGTTTAATAAAATAATCATATTATTTATTTTATATAGTCACGTATATTTGTGATACTTGTTTT